TATATATATATATATATATATATATATATAAGGATGGATTTATTTACTCTAGGAGTAAATCTACCTAAACTTATTTCGTTCAATAACTCATGTTCTACATTAAATTTCAATGATTCAACTGTTGAATTTAAAGTTTTTAATGCGTAGATCAAGTTTACAAATTTTTAAAAATTTTAAAAATCATTTGATACATCATTTCATTAATTCATATTAATAGGTAATTATAAAATTATTTTATACATTAATTTTAGTTAATTGTCACGTTGGCATATATTCTCTCATAGATGACATGTAGCAATAACAAACTAAGTAAATTTAGACACGTGATAAGGTAAGGTTTAATTTTTAACTCAATTTAAAAATTACTAAAGTGACACTTTAATGACTTATATCTTCTAACCCACTCCCATTAAACATAGCATAGACACTCATATTCAATTGATGTATCTTTACTTGACATCTTCAAAATAATCCCTCATTTTGTTAAATCTCAAATTCAATAATTTAGGATTTACAATCCTAAACCTATATATAGTCATAACAATTAATGAAGAAATTAAGGATGATTGAGATAAAAAGAAAAATCAACTATATGAGACCTTATGAAATCCAACAACCTTCCATTTTAACCAAGATATATACTCATGATCAGAGTATTTAAATATGACAAAGTGTTTGTTGTTGATAAGAAGTACCAAAACCTTGCATTATGGTCCATATTAGGTGATTAAGAGAAAGAATAATCAACTCGGAAAAAATATGTGTCAACCTAATACTTAATTGTTAATTGTTCAATAAACTAACATAATTAATAACAAGTATAACAAAAGGACTAACTTGCAAAATAGAGTTAAAATTTAAGATTTTTGATGCCATAAAAAATATTTCAAAAACCTATTAGTCACCTTTATCATCTTTTTGAAACCAAATTAGATGTTTACTCTTTTTAAACTTAAAGAAAATCTTAGAGTGAGAATGACCTTAGCACTGATTTTGAAAAGAATTAATATATCTAGATAATAAGAATTTTGACAATAATCAATGTATTTAAGGGAATGGTCTCTACTAGGCAACATCTTTATTAATTTAAATTAATGAGTATAATTTTAAGTAAAAATAAATAAAATTATTAGCATATTAAATTATTTTTTTATTGAAAAAGACTAAATCAAAGATTTTATAAATCTTGTGATTGAGTCGGCCATGTGATCATTTCACTAGGTCATTAGTTTTATTGATAATTATCAATAATTAAATAAATAAATTCTCTTATAATTATATTAGCAGAACTATTTATAATAATCGATAAGTTAACTCTCAATAATTAAACCAATCATTGTTTAACCTATGTTATAAGATCAATTTAGTTGAGAACTTAAAGTAATATATATATATATATATAGTCTCTTAAGTTCAAACTCCATTATAATTTTTATAATTGTAATAAAATAAAATAAAACAGCAGTTTGAGGTTTGAGGTTTTGGCAAGAGAATTATTATCAATTTCAGTTGTCTAGTTTTTATAATTGTAATCAAAAGTTGTTTATGGTAAATTTTAGGAATGATTTTTCAACTGTTAACAAGAAAAATCTTATCTAAAATACATTAAAAAAAGTTGTAATGATTTCCAAACTTTTGATTTATGAAAATATATGTTCACTTATTTCATTACTTCTTTTTCTCTCATTTCTGTTTTCATTTTATCAAACATGGGTAGTTAGTACTTGGTAACAACTTGTGTTGTTTCACAAAAGTTGTAAACCTTGAACTGCAAAAAGATCATGTTCTTTTCATATGGGAAATCTAGTCCGAATTTTAATATGTGCAGATCGCATTGTTCTACGTACTGTACGTTCCTCGGCAAATGAAAGCACATAGTTTTTTTCTCGTTGATTGCATGGTGGTAGACAAACGGAAAACACACATAGCTTGAATTTCACGTTATCACGATTAACACTATCTTTTGTTGTCAACCTTTTGTGAACTCTCCTATCCCAAGAATGGTGTGGCACAACGTGGTGTTTTTAGCCTCTCTGAAACTCTCATGGCACTGTTCTATACATTCTTTGGACCACAGATTCACATAGGAATTTTCAAACCTTCTTTACACACTTTTTTATGCTGCTATCATATCACGAATAGTATTATACTTAAAGTGTATTTTATTTTTATGAATATGTTTTTCTTTTCTTTTTGCTATCAAATAATTTTCCATTGATTTTAATTTGTATAAATTTTAATTTTTTTGAAAAAATTTGTCATCGCCGCTTAATGATAATATTTCATGTATCTAATCAATTAAATCGAAAAATAATTTTAAAGTGACATATTATATAATATGATTAGATACATTTCACAAAAAAAAAAGAGGCTATTTTAATGAATTTTTGAATTGTGAATCAAAATTCCTGGCAAAAGATTTTGAAAGAACAACAAAAAGGACATATCTATAAAAAAAAATAATTTTTTTATCCATATTATTATTTGGTATTCATATTAAAATTGTAATTATCGGGATTGAGAAACATTTTTAATTGCCACGCATTATAAATACTATATATTAACAACTAGTGTTTGAACGTTCAATAAGGACTAGCTGTTGATAGCTTCTATAAACGTAAAGTTACCCTTGGATTTTCGAGGTATGAATACTTTAAATTCTATCACTTGGGCTGAATTCGTTGGAATGAATTAATATATACATATATATATATATATATAAGTAAAATTTAGTCGTATAACCATACATACATATCAAGATTTAAAGTCATGTGATCGCTTAAAATTGTCATAACTTCAAAAAAATATTATGTGTTTTAATCTTGATAGTTCATTATTTGTTCTTCTCCGATAAGAAAACATTTTTTTGCAAAATAAATTGTTATTATTTGTCCTTCTCATTCTCAAATATAAAAAAACTCAAAAACAAATTAATTATATTTTTAAATTTTAAATTCATAATTAAAATTTTATTATCTAAAATTAAAATAATGATGTAGCATAAGTACATTTTTAATAAGTTTTGAATTTATTAAAATTTTCATTATTAAGATTTAAGTTAAATTACACTTTTAGTTTCTCTATTTTCATCAATCTATAATTTTAGTTAATCTATTTTAAAATAGAGACATTTAGTCTCTTTAATTTTAAAAATATAAAATTTTGAATATATATATATATATATATATATATATATAATTATTCATATTTGACTTGGGCTTTTCACTTGCTATAAATGAAAAGTTACCCTTTTGAAGTGATTTCTCTTTTACACGATTTGAGTTTTAGGCAAACATATACCTTCAGAAGGGAAGAGTAGTAAAAGTTTTTGACATGGTCATGGTGCTAATGAAGAACACTGCTTGTGTTGTGCTTGTATTTCTTTGTGCTGTTTGGCTATCCACTGCTCGGTTGAACCCTACAGGTATTTCTTTAATTTTCTTTTGGTGTACTATATATTTTCTAATTTATATTACATGCTTTCTAGACGTAATCAAACATTAAATGCAGAAAATGATGACCATAAAAAGGTGATAAATGAAGGTGCTGCTGTTAACGAATTTCCGGATATAAAGGTAATTAAATATACATTTTACGTATTTCATGCCATTCTGTGGGAGCTTTTTGAAAGAAATTATTTAAAGATATGAACTAGTTTATGATTTTTTTTTAATAATTAAAGTCCTTTCATTTTAGTAAGTTTTCGGTCAATTTTCTTTTGTATAAACCATCATTTGAAAAAAGTGAGTTTATTGAATAAATTGTTAAACATCTTATATCAACTAGTGATACAATAAAAATAAATTATATAAGTGAAAAATAATTTTCATTTTACTTACTAATTCTATAGAGTTGAAATAAGTTTAAAATTTATATTTTAATATGATATCAAAATATATATATCTTAAAGATTGTTGTTGGATCTATTATTTTGAGAACTTTTATAAACTGAAAATAAATAGTACTTTCCGATTAAAAAAAAAAAACTCTCATTTTAAGCTAATATCAAAACATATTATATGTCATTTGATTAGAGATGTTTAGTCTCCTTGTAAGGAGAAAGTATTAAAAAATTGTACATTGATTAATGTTCTAATCAATTGATATAAATTAATGGAAAGTTGTAATCATCTATCAGTTTGATGAAGTTGAGTTAGAATGAGATTTCACATTGTAGGGTAAATGTTTAACAAAAATATAACTTAATTAACACCCCTCAAAATATAAAGGACAACTTTAATTTCCATTTAAGAGCTCTAATGAAAGTTTTATCTTCTATACCATATCGGGAATTTCTTGAACAGGAAAGTATTGCATTTAGTGTTACAAAAATTACAAAGCTGAAAAGCTTGGCTGCATTTGATGAGGGGAACTTAAACAAAGCAAATGCAAAGCTACTTATGAGTAAATCTAAGCAGGCCAAGTTTGCTTCCAATGTAGAAGCCAAAAGAAATCTAAGAAGCTATTCACCAGATGAGGTTAATGGTGAACCCTTGGCTTTCACTGCTGATTATCATCGACCAGTGCACCACCCACCAAAGAATAACAAATGAACTCTTCAAAGTTCATCCTCTTAATCGAAGATATTTGGGATTTTTTTTTTCTTTTCTTTGTTTATCTTATCCTTTAGTATTGCTTAATTTACTATATATATTTTGTGTTACTGAAATGAGTGCCTTGTATCCGGGAAGTTCATATATAGGATATATATAAGTGTTTCTTGTCATCAATCTAATGTATAATTAACATGTTGAGTGAAGTTAATTAAATGAGGTGTCTCACTCTAGTTTACGTTTACCTGTTACTGTTAGTTTGGCACTAGAATTTTGGTGGTTAATTATATTTTTGTCTTTGAAATTTTATAAGTGATTTTTTTTTAATTATGAAAATACATGTGTTTTTGTCTATCACGCTTCAAGCGGGTTTGAGACATGCTTACAGTACTAGGACACATAATTTTTATTGGAACATTAGCAACCAATATATATGACATAGTCACTCTCTTTGAATCCGTGAACACGTTTGATGATTATTTGACTATATTTTTTTAAATAAAATATCTTTTAAACTTTTAGTTCATATTATTTTTGTAAGAAACTATGAGATAATGATAATCCTTCAAACTAATATATTTTAGCCTCTTATTTTCTTATTTCTGATATTAAGAAAACTGGTTCGTTAAAATGGCAGAAATTTCAAAATTTGTTGTAAAAATTTGTTATTCTTCTATGTGAAATTAGTACTGGACATAAATTTGTAGGTAAAAAATATTTCATAGCATTTTCATAAATGGAAGAAAATGGTCATTAGTCTCACTATAGAGACTCATAATTAACCAAATTAAAGAACACCTAACATATTAACAAAAATGGTCTTATTTCACAACATCCAGAGCAATTACTTTTATTTTTTTAATTTTTTTTTTTATGATTCTACACGTTAACAAATTGTTAATTTTAATAAACTTTTGCTTTCGTATTCTCTATTACTATTAGAAAAGGAAAAAACAGTTTACATTAAAAACGTCATTTTATATATAATATAAGAAAAAAAAAGCGAAATAGAATTATAACGTGCTTTTAAAAAAATGTGGGATATGTAAGTTCCAACTTTTAAAAATAAAATTTTATTAAAAATATTGAATATGTAAATTCCAGCCTTAAAAAAATTTTAAATTCTAACATCCTATTTTGAATTCTAAAATAAGATTCCTTAGCTAAAAAGTTATCTGAAAAATACAGAAACGAAAACATGTTATCCTATTTCCAATATATATCCTATATAAAAAAAAAGGGAAAAGAAAAATTACATTCCACACACACACACATATATATATATATATATATATATAATTAATAAAATTTTAATATCACGTAATTTATTGTTTTATAATAACTTAAATATCTTTTTATCCTTAAATGAATGTAGACTTTAAAAAAGTTTAATTTGTATAGAAGCTGGTAAACAAGTAAGTTCACTTTTACTGACTTTTAAAAACGAGACTTCATCCTATTCTTTTAGAATTGGATGTACTGAAGTTAATGAATAGTGTACCTGTCTGGGGGTACACTCATAATCTTCTATGGGGAAGGGCCGAACGGGAGCTTCAAGTAGGTACTTCGGAAAGGGGGAAGGTACCTGCAAAAGACACTCCGACGCTCAAGTTAGAATAAGCACGAATTTCTAGGATGATTAATGAATAGTGACGTACCTCAATATAAGCGACCTATTTATACTACTACGAGTGGGCCTTGTCAGTAATGAGCCTCTTCTAAAGCTTACCAAATTAGGTAATACAGTGCTAATCAGCTAATTATGTCTTAATCATGTGCTTATCCTTGTTAACCACGATCAGCGTTATAATCCTCTTTGTCCTTCGGCACATCACCGAGCTGACAGGTTAAGGCTTTTGGGTGCTGAACGTCTCGGCCGTTGGTCGGGCCTATATGTATTTGCTATGCTATTCTACTTGATCGGCAGTTGACCGAGCCGATACACGGTATATGGAGATGTATCATGGTACCGTTCGTATCGGCCCTATACTGAGCCGACATTGCTATCGGACTCCTTTCGGCCTTCAGCTACGGGCCGAGCCGATGGTAGCATCAATATTTTGGGTTGTTTAGTTCGCGTGGGTGTCTGACGGAACGGCACGTGTTGGTCCACGTGACCAATAGGGTCCTCCTGGTACACAAGCCCCCCAGCCTTTGGGAGTGGAACGACGCAAAGGATAAATGTAACGGATCAGTTATTAGAATCGGCTTGAAAATGTGGGGAAGTGTGACCATGAGTAAATTTCTTGAGGACGTGTCATGAGGGGTTATAACTGTTAGCGGAATGCCAGGGGTTGTATCCGTTGGGCATTGATGACTCATATGAGAGGTTACAACTGCTCAGCATGCCAAAGGTCATAACCGTTGGGCATTAATGACGCGTGCAAGGAGTTACAACTGCTGATGAAAGGTGAAGAGTTGTAACCGTTGTCGGAATACCAAGGGTTATAACCGTTAGGTATTGATGAGGCATGCGAAGGGTTGCGCATCGTGAACCGTTAGATCTAAGTGATCCAACGGTGTGCAGAAGGGTGCGTCTCTTGAGACGCTTGCAAGGAACGCCTATAAATAGGTGTGTGGGGAGGGTCCCCAAAGATACACATTTATTACTTGCTCCGAGCCGAGACCGTCTGAGTTGGTGTGCGAATATTCAACAGCAATAGGTCAAGTTCAACAATCAGGTACGTAATGGCAAATTTAAACGTTGTTCATATTGACTCCTCCGGGGATGAAGGTGAATCTAGGTTGAGAGTGCTGCCGGACCGAGACGTCGCTTTGGCTTCGGCTTCTAATGGGGCAGACCACGCAGAGTCCGTTTCTCGGTCCGAACGGTCGCGAAGTGGGAGTGATTCTTCTTCAGCTATAGCCTCTGATGATCATCCGAGCAGGGGTGGTGGATCGTCAAGGAATTTTGCTCCCATATCAACCCCTGGGTATTCGTGGGTGCACGGTGAAGTTGGCAGCGTGTATTCCCGATATACTGATAAGAAGTCTCTTATTAACTTCGTATCGGCGGTGAAATTCTTAAACTTCCCCAAGGACGAGGAACCCTCTGCCATCTTTTTCCAACCGTGCCGAGGTGATGGGGGGTCGAAACCGGATTTCGTGTATTTGAACCAAGGGTCGTCCAAGTACCAGTTCTTTTACGTGTACGATTATATGTTTCGGGACTTGAAGATATCCCTCCCTTTTGATAATTATTTCATGGGTATACTTCGGCATCTGAACGTGGCGCCGAGTCAACTTCATCCAAACACCTAGGCGGCAATGCAAGGGTTTAAACAGTTGTGTTTGGCCCTCGGCCTCCAGCCTACTCCGCACCTATTCCTACACTTCTACTCGTCTCGGCCTACGAAGAAGGCTAAATGGTTGTCATTGATTCGACACAGTGATTGCCTACTACAGCCCTTCACTACTTCCTATAAGAAATTCAAAGTGGGGTTTATGAAGGTGATGATTCGGCCACCGACGGGAAATAAGTATTTCTTTGATGCCGAAGGGAATTCACTTTTTCCGTTGTACTGGACCCGGAAGGCGAGAAAGTATGACACGGTGTCCAAATCTCGCATGTCCCCGGAGGAGAGATCGAGTCTGAATTTTTTAGAGAAGCTGCCTCGGCCTCTACCATGCCGTCCTCTTGTCCGATTGTTTGAATCGACCGACGTAGTCGAGGAGTTGATTGGTATAGTACCTTTCTTACTTATTTAAATTCCTGCGTTATCATTGATTTTGACTAATGATGTGCAGGTATAATGACGGATCATGGAGAGGACGATCTGGACATCCGCACATTGATCCGGAATCAAGTGGCGGCGACTACTGGGAATAAGACCCCGGCCAGGGTGCGCGGGAATCAACCAACTACCCAAGGTGTCGGGGCGGGACCAACGGTCAGACCGACGAAGCCCACTCGGCCCCAACCTGAAAAAAGAAGGCCTGACCCAAGGGTCGAGGAAGAGAGCCGTCGGGCTAAGCAGCGCCGAGTGGCTGGTCTCCCTGTTCTAGAGAGCTTGGCCGGGCCAAGTTTTTTGGCCGGTAATGTTAACGCTCAGGATTTCCTGAGTCAAGACTTGACCTCCGAGGCAGGTCAAGAGGTGCTGAGTCGCATGACCGCAGCTCAGAAGTGGAGCTTCTTCTGTGAGTTCCAAGTGTGTGTCGTGGCCTTGGCACAAATCATTGTCATGGAGCCGAACGGCGAGGCCGATGGACTGCGTCGGCAACTTGCTGAGCAGGAGAAGTCTCTCCAAGAGACACTGGCGGCGCTTACGGATGCCCAAACGGTCAACGACAAATTTCAGGCCGAGTTGGATCGCCGGGGGCGAACTGCTGACGACCTGGCTTTGAAGGTTCAGCGTCTGGAGCTCGCTTTGAAGAACGAGACTGAGAAGGTTACAACTCTAGGTAAGGAGCTAGATGCTGAGAAGATTGCTTTCAGGGCTTACAAAGAGAAAGCGCGCAACAAAGTCCTTACTCAGCATCAGGCTGGCTTTGCTCAGGCGGCTCGGCAAGCCTGCTACTTTGGTGACTTCCCCCCTGAATTTCATCTTGATATGACAAAGGACTTATTTCAGGGGAAGTTGGTGGACCTGACTTCCATCCCTCCAGACCAACAGGCCGACGAAGAAGCCCCGGCACGGAGGGTTGCCGGGCCGAATGAGGAGGAGACGGCGTACGAGGAGGTTGCGCCTGAGGATGGTCCGGTTCAGGGGGAACCAGAAGTGGGGTCTTAAGCTTGTTTTTTCCTTGTATTGATGGGCCGATAGCGCCCTTTTTGAATGTATTTGTCTAGGCCGATAGTGCCTTTCGTAATGAATGAATTTAAATTTTCCTTGCTTTTATACATTGGTGTAACATTTACTTTTTGCGCGATGAAAATTCGTAATTGATGTAAACCGTATTCTTGACCGAGAAATCTTGGGAGGGAGGACGTAAAACAGTTACATCCCTGACCGAGAGATATCTCGAGGAGGGAAGACTTGTTAAACGATTAAAGCCACATC